AACTACTTTCTCCTTTTTCCCTTTGTAGACAACAGAATCTTCCCCTCCACACCAAAGCTACAGTGGCAGGGACATAGAGTATGCTCCAGGCCTCTTGCCAAATGGTGTTGGATTAACACCTCCAGTCATCGGCTACCATGCCCCCAAGATCTCAAGCCTACTTCAAGGACATTTGAGAGAACCAGCTGATGTTGGTAGGAAAAGGAAGATCAAGGCACAAACAATTGATCCATCGGCTCTGGCTCCCAAGAAGAAGGCCAAGAAGCAAAAACCCAAGCCAACCGATGACTTGCCAGCCTTGGATCCGTCCATCGAACAAGCCCTGGATGAAGAGGAGATTGAAGAGGATGTTGACAAAGCTGTAGCCGAAGTAAGTGATACAGAACAAACTCCATCGGCTTCTCCCAAACAAACTCCTCCAACTCCTTCTGCACCGGCTCATTTCTCAAGAGTGAATATCTATCCTTAATTTCTTTTTGCAACCATTTCATTTATAGCCGATTGCTCATATATTTTATAGTTGCAGAAGAAGAAGATTGCTGTGAAAAAGAAATCGGCAGCAACAACACTTAAACCAGCTCCACCGGTAAGATTGTTTCCTATAAATCCTTTCACTAATCGATCATAACCGATTTTACTTAACACTTGTCTTTTTGCAGCCTCCTCCTCCTCCTCCTTCTCCTGTACAACAAACATCAAGTGATCGAACTCCATCGGCTACAGGAAGTCATCATATCGAGGAAGAGGAACAACCAGCCGCTCCTGCTATCCCAGTAAGTCTCTTTTTAGCACAAAGACTTAGATCGGCTATATCTGTTTGATGTATAACTGTCTTCAAATTACTCTTTGGCAGGCCTTAGCCAATCTGTTCTCCTTTGATATCAAAGATTATTTTGATGAAGAGACAGAAGATGATCCCACCAGCAAAGCTCTAGCTCCCTTGTCCGATGACGTGAAGAAAACTCTTGAAGACATTTCTCATTGGCTAGAGGCATCATCACTAGATAGCTTGGTGGTAGACTGTGGGTCGATCAGAACTCGGCTACATGAAATTCAAGCTCTGATCCCGGATGAGCTAACCGATGTTCTCACTCTAGCCGTCTATCGTGAACAACATCAATTCAAGCTGGAGAAGGCCAAGCAAAGACTAGCCGAACGTCGGGAGCGCAAAGACATCGAAGCCACAATCCAAGCCAATCGGCAGCTTGTTTACGAAGAGAAGTCCAAGCTTGATCGGCTATCTGATGGCCCGATCAAATCCAATATTGATCGGCTTGAAGCTCGTAAGATTGAGCTCTTGGCACAACTTCAAGAATGCAACGCCGAACTGGATTTGGAACACAAAATGCTAGCCGATCTCCCACAAGCTGTCGAAGAACAAAAGGCAAGGCTGAAATCGGCTATCAAGAATGTCGCTGATCTGACCAAGTCTTTAAAAGTCATCCCTGGAACCGATGCTCAAGATGCCCAAGCTATTGAAGAAGTAGAACAAATTAAGCAAGGAGCTATATCGGCTATCCAGCGCTATTTGTCTCAGTGACTTTCTGTATAATAGACTTTAGGAAGCTTTTGTAATCGGCTAAGAAACTCAGGCACTTTATTTAACTTGTCTTAATAATCCTTTGTGCCGATTAATATAACTTCTCATTTTTGCTCAAAAAATTTTGCAACTTTGCTAAAAAATTGTTGCAACTTTTGCATATATGTGCCCCCCTAATTTTACAATGTCAAAGGCATTGATAAAATTATAAATTAAACTCAGGGCAATACAGTAATATCGGCCATTGTACATTGGCAAAACACAACCGATTACAATATGAAAAACAGCTAAGGGTGATATAACTATATCGGCCATTGTACAGCGGCAAACCAAGACCGATTATAATATGAAAAATAGCTAAGGGCGATATAACTATATCGGCCATCTCAAGGTGATGTGAATACATCGGCTATCATGTATTGGCAACACCAGTCGATCATGCATTAACCCAAACACTTGGGTAATATTTCTTCAAGTATTTTCCATTAAGTGCTCGTCCATAAACTTCTGCATCGAGTCCTTGCAACATGTAAGCTCCTTTGGATACAACCTTACAAATTTGAAACGACCCTTCCCAATTCGGTGACCATTTGCCGAATTTGTTATCTCGAGTCTCTATCGGCAAAATCAATTTCTAAACAAGTTCACCTTCAGAAAAAGACTTAGGCACCACTTTCTTGTTATAATGTCGAGCGACATGTTCCTTATCCTTGATAACCTTTGCAAGGGCTCTCAATCTGGTTTGAACCAAGTCTTCCCTTTCATCGGTCATGAGATTACTCCGTTCTTCTCGAGTCTACTCTAACTTCCCATGGTAAAACAACCTGGATCGAACCATGACAAGCCATCCGATAGGACCACAATGCTTCGGCCAATCGAGTATGCCATTGCCGAGGATAATCAAAAATCTTTCTCTTAATCAACTTGATGAAACTCTTGTTAGATGCCTCGGCTTGCCCATTAGCTTGTGCGTAATATGGTGAAGAATTCAACAACTTGATACCCATGCTTTCGGCAAACTGAACAAACTCATCAGACACGAAGATCGAACCTTGATCGGTTGTAATGGTTTGAGGAATACCAAATCGGTAAATTATATGCTCTTGAACAAATTGTATGGCATCCCCAGAATCAACTTTCTTCAAAGGAATCGCTTCTACCCACTTGGTAAAGTAATCGGATGCCACCAAGATAAACTTGTGTCCTTTGCTCGATGGTGGATTAATCATACCGATCATATCAATTCCCCAACCTCTAAATGGCCATGGTTTGATGATAGGATTCATAGCCGATGCTGGTGCCCTTTGAATTGCTCCAAACTTTTGACAATGTTGACATCCCTTATAATACTTGAAACAATCCTCTAGCATTGTCGGCCAAAAATATCCTGCACATCGAAGAAACCACTTCATCTTATGAGCCGATTGATGAGTTCCACAAATTCCTTCATGCATTTCACCGATTGCAATCTTAGCTTAATCGGTACTCAAACATTTAAGCAACACTCCATCAATCGTCCGATAATAGAGCTCATCATCCAACAAGGTATATTTCAAAGCCTTATAGCGCAATTTCCGAGAAGCCGATTGAGATGGATTTTGCAGATAATGATGCACATCATACCTCCAATCATCGGCTGCTATTGTGGCAATTTCTATTTTGACATCCTTCATCATCGGCTTGTAACCCCACGCCCCTTGGGCCAAATCATTAGCTTCAACATTCTGTTCTCGAGATACATGCTTCAAAGTCACCAGCCAAAATTCTTTCATCAATTCTGATGAGGACATCAACACCATCGATACATCCACGTCCCCCCATGTACAGCATGATGGTCCTATTACCCGCGCTCGTGCACGTCAACTAAATTATCAGGTGAGTTCTTTCTTGAGTTCATATTCCTCGTCTTTATACCCCGGAGACGCGTGCACTCGTGTTTTACTCAGGAACGATGGAGAGGATCCAAAGGGAAGAGGATTCGCGCGGGGTGGATTCGGATTGCAGGGCAGCGCCAACTTCTGACGGCCGCCACGACTTCATGCGAACTCCGATTTGGGCGTGCAAGTACTTCATGGAAAGCTTATCAAGTCTACTTTCAAATGGATCCAGCCACATGTCCATATCTGTTCTGGAGCGGCCGCAATTGTCATTTTACTCCCGACTATTTTCTGTCCATGGTGCTGCGTCACCTCTTTTGGCCCAATGGGCTGTGTATCCAAGTTGGGCCCATTAGGGGCGCGTCCTAGGGTTGGAGCACGACCCTATGGTCGTTCTTCCCCTCTTTTTATACCTCTAGTCGCCGCCAAGAACAGGCGGGTTTTGATGATAGAGATAGCTTCTTGCTACCAGCTCGCAGCGCGCGTGTTGGCTAAACCGCCCGTCTGCCTGTAATCGGAACACCACCATATTGAGTTTGATAGTGAAACTTTCATCTTTATCTAGCAATTTCAGTGCTTGTCCTACTTGTTCTTGCTTGTTCTTCGATTGCTTGCAGGACGAGTGCCCTCGTGGCCGGGTTGACGCGCACCACAAGTTCGCGGCGACCATTGGAGACGGTGTATCGGTTGCTAAGGCGCAGCGTCTTTGGACAGTTGTAGTCGGGCCGTGAACGTCGTCTTCATCTAATCGAGTTATCCCTTACCTCTCATCGAAAGATCGAGCCACAAACCCTAGCGGGTTCGCATCAGGTGGTATCAGAGCGTGGTTCATCGGTGAGAGAATTTACCCTTCCCTTCGTCATTAATTTTTTTTTCCTATAGCCCAGAAAAGACCAAAAAAAAAATAGTAGATTAGTTTTCCCGTGATCCTATAGACCATTGTGCCTTTTTACTAGTACTGCTTAGTTAAGGCTTGTTGAGTTTTCGATTGCATCGGTTGTGTTAATTTGCTGGTCTTAGTGTTAAGCGATTAGAGTTTCGAGTTCTTGCCACCACCGCACATCGCCACCTTCATCAATTTTGCCGTCATCACCACCGTCACCACCGTCGCAGTCACCCACCAAATCACTTTCTATTTGTGTTTGATCTGCTGCCGATAGCTTTTGTGAGTTGCCTTGTATCCTGCCGCCACTAGAAAGGAAATAGAACCCTGATTCAAGTGACCTTCCTTAAAACAGTCATATCTTTGTCATACGGACTTGAAATTAGGCTTATAATATATCCACGGACATCTACAAAAAAAGTTACATCCGATTCTCCCCGGCTTTGCCGGGTTCGGCAAATTTAAAATCGCCAAATTCCTCTTGCAAAATTCTGTTTTTGTGGCGAGAAGCTTCGGGACCTATTCGCATAGAACTTTGAAAAAAAATTCTACAAGCTTCATACTTTGTCCGTTTGAGATAAGATTTTCTGTGGTTGGTTCTAGTGTGCTCCTGGTTGTGAAAAAAAAATATCAAAAGAAAAAAATAAAAAAAAAAAAAGTTGTGTCTCTCTCCTCAGCACTAGAGAGAGCAAGCAAAAAAAAAAAAAAAAAAAAAAAAGGATCCAGCGAGCACACCCCACCATTCCCCCTTTGTCACCACCTTCCACCACCGGTTCTTGTTTTCGTTGCTGTTTGGGTTTGTGTTTTGTGGCGTCCTTTGTGGTTAGGCTCGCGTCTCTACTTCAACTAGCCTAGGACCAGCACTGTACACTATACCCTTGAGCGATTATTCAATTTCCTTTGGCTAACGTGGTTTCTAGTTTTCTCTTGAGCATTGCTTTCAGCCCACCAACAGCTCCACCACAAACCCGACTACAGCTTGACAGGTCTTGTTGCTACAGCACCGATACACCTCGTTCCACGGTTGCTAACTTGTGGGTTGCTGTCCCCCTCCTGTGGGCAAGGTAAGAACTGGTAAGAGCTTGTGAGACAAGCTGCGAGTGAAGTGAGAGTGAGCGTCTTGCAAAAGCTACATCCCAATAGTTGTGTAGGGCTTACATTACATCCTCCATTGTTTTGTTGTCCTTCATTTCTAAACCATGGCAGGTCTAGAGGATAAAGATGAGGAGGGTGCATCTCATTCCCCACGCACCAAAGGCATCATCCAATACTTTACAAGGCAAGTGAAGCAGCACACAGAAGGACTTGATACAGATTTGCAGGTGACAAATGAGAAGATTGGACAATTGGAGTCCACGCAGATCTCCACCAACACTAAGCTTACAGGGCTGGAGACAGCGGTCGCCCGCATTGACACTAGCCTTGCTGCTCTTGTGAGGCATTTTGATGCTCTCAATGCTGGAGGCAATGGTGGGGGTAATGACGATGACATTGACGGAGAGTACGTCGAGGATAATTTGGAGGATGAATATATTGCTGACACTGAACAAGATGATCGAGATGCTCGAGATCGTCGACGGCTACACAACAATCGACGAGGTATGGGTGGTCGCCGCCGACGCGAGGTACGCAACAATGATGATGCTTTTTCTAAAATTAAATTTAAGATTCCTCCTTTTGATGGAAAATATGATCCTGATGCGTACCTCTCTTGGGAGATTGCTGTTGACCAAAAATTTGCATGCCATGAGTTTCCTGAGAACACTAGAGTTAGAGCTGCTACAAGTGAGTTCACCGATTTTGCTTCGGTTTGGTGGATAGAACATGGCAAGAAAAATCCTAATAACATGCCACAAACTTGGGATGCTTTGAAACGGGTCATGCGGGCTAGATTTGTTCCTTCTTACTATGCACGTGACTTGCTGAATAGGTTGCAACAATTGAGACAGGATGCGAAAAGTGTAGAGGAATATTATCAGGAGTTACAAATGGGCTTGCTTCGTTGTAATTTAGAGGAAACTGAGGACGCTGCCATGGCTAGATTTTTGGGTGGGTTAAACCGCGAGATTTATGACATCGTAGACTATAAAGATTACACTAATATGACCCGATTGTTTCATCTTGCTTGTAAGGCTGAAAGGGAAGTGCAGGGACGACGTGCTAGTGCCAAGGCTAATTTTTCTGCAAGTAAAACTTCATCATGGCAGACACGCACCACTCCTCCGGCCGGCCGTACTACTTCTCCATCTTCCACACCCACAACCAGTCGAGCAGCACCTCCTCCATCTGGTGACAAGTCAGCGATAAAGGCTGCTCAGCCAGCACCGAGTGCTTCTTCAATGGCATCCACAGGCCGAATGAGAGATGTTCAGTGCCACCGTTGCAAGGGCTTTGGGCATGTGCAGCGTGACTGCCCTAGCAAGCGAGTTTTGGTAGTAAAAAACGATGGTGAGTACTCCTCTGCTAGTGATTTCGATGATGATACACTTGCTTTGCTTGCGGCTGACCATGCAGATAATGAGCCACCGGAAGAGCACATTGGGGCTGCATTTGCGGATCACTATGAGAGCCTCATTGTGCAGCGTGTCCTTAGCGCACAAATGGAGAAGGCGGAGCAAAATCAGCGACACACGTTGTTCCAAACAAAGTGTGTCGTCAAAGAGCGTTGTTGCCGCATGATCATTGATGGAGGTAGCTGCAACAACTTGGCTAGCAGCGAGATGGTGGAGAAGCTTGCACTTAGCACCAAACCGCACCCACATCCATACTACATCCAATGGCTGAACAACAGTGGTAAGGCGAAGGTAACAAAACTGGTGCACATTAATTTTGCAATTGGAAATTACCATGATGTTGTTGAATGTGATGTTGTGCCCATGCAAGCTTGTAATATTCTGCTAGGTAGACCATGGCAATTTGATAGGGATTCTATGCATCATGGTAGGTCAAACCAGTACTCTTTTCTGTACCATGATAAGAAAATTGTGTTGCATCCCATGTCTCCTGAAGATATTTTGCGTGATGATGTTGCTAAGGCTGCCAAATCCAAATGTGAGAGTGATAAAAAAGCCCAATCTGATGGCAAGAAACCTGAGACAATCAATTTGAAACCCAGATGCTTACTTGCTACTAAATCTGATATTAATGAGTTGATTGCATCACCTTCAGTTGCCTATGCTTTGGTATGCAAAGATGCTTTGATTTCACTTCACGATATGCAGCATTCTTTGCCCCCTGCTGTTGCTAACATTTTGCAGGAGTACTCTGATGTGTTTCCCAAGGAAGTGCCACCGGGGCTGCCACCGGTGCGCGGCATTGAGCATCAAATCGACTTGATCCCAGGTGCTTCCCTACCGAATCGTGCGCCATACCGAACCAACCCTGAGGAAACCAAGGAGATTCAGCGTCAAGTTCATGAATTGCTTGATAAAGGGTATGTACGCGAGTCTCTTAGTCCATGTGCGGTTCCGGTAATTTTGGTACCAAAGAAAGATGGTTCATGGCGTATGTGTGTTGATTGTAGAGCTATTAATAACATTACCATTCGATATCGTCATCCTATTCCTAGGTTAGATGATATGCTTGATGAATTGAGTGGCTCTATTGTGTTCTCCAAAGTTGATTTGCGTAGTGGTTACCACCAGATTCGTATGAAGTTGGGTGATGAATGGAAAACAGCATTTAAAACAAAGTTTGGGTTGTATGAGTGGTTAGTGATGCCTTTTGGTTTAACTAATGCACCCAGCACTTTCATGAGGTTGATGAATGAGGTTTTGCGTCCTTTCATTGGAAAATTTGTGGTGGTCTACTTTGATGATATCTTGATTTACAGCAAGTCTATGGGTGAACATTTTAATCATTTACGTGCTGTTTTTAATGCTCTTCGTGATGCACGTTTATTTGGTAACCTTGAGAAGTGCACCTTTTGCACAGATCGAGTTTCTTTTCTTGGCTATGTTGTAACTCCGCAGGGGATTGAGGTTGATCAAGCCAAGGTTGAGGCAATTCAGAGTTGGCCGACTCCTAAAACGGTCTCACAAGTGCGGAGCTTTCTAGGACTCGCGGGGTTCTATCGCCGCTTTGTGCAGGATTTCAGCACCATTGCTGCACCATTGAATGCGCTTACAAAGAAGGGAGTGCCTTTCACTTGGGGCACATCACAAGAGAACGCCTTCCACATGTTGAAAGATAAGTTGACTCATGCACCTCTCCTCCAACTTCCCGATTTTAATAAGACTTTTGAACTTGAATGTGATGCTAGTGGGATTGGATTGGGTGGTGTTTTGCTACAAGAAGGAAAACCTGTTGCATATTTTAGTGAAAAGTTGAGTGGGCCTGTTCAGAATTATTCTACTTATGATAAGGAATTGTATGCTCTTGTGCGAACTTTAGAAACATGGCAGCATTATTTGTGGCCCAAGGAATTTGTCATACATTCTGATCATGAGTCTTTGAAGCATATTCGTAGTCAAGGGAAGCTGAACCGTAGACATGCTAAATGGGTTGAATTTATTGAATCTTTTCCTTATGTTATCAAACACAAGAAAGGGAAGGAGAACATCATTGCTGATGCTTTATCTAGGAGATACACTTTGTTGACACAACTTGACTACAAGATTTTTGGCCTGGAAACAATCAAAGACCAATATGCGCATGATGCTGATTTTAATGATGTGTTGCTGCATTGTAAGGATGGAAGAACATGGAACAAATTCGTCATCAATGATGGGTTTGTTTTCAGAGCTAACAAGCTATGCATTCCAGCTAGCTCCGTTCGCCTGTTGTTGTTGCAGGAAGCGCATGGAGGCGGTTTGATGGGACATTTTGGCGCCAAGAAGACACATGACATCCTTGCTAGTCATTTCTTTTGGCCACAGATGCGAAGAGATGTTGGCAGGTTCGTTGCTCGCTGCGCTACATGTCAAAAGGCTAAGTCACGCTTACATCCACATGGTTTGTATATGCCTCTTCCTGTTCCTACTGTTCCTTGGGAAGATATTTCAATGGACTTTGTGTTAGGATTGCCTAGGACCAAGAGGGGGCGTGATAGCATTTTTGTGGTTGTGGATAGATTTTCTAAAATGGCACATTTCATACCATGTCATAAAACTGATGATGCTTCTCATATCGCTGATTTGTTCTTTCGAGAAATTGTTCGCTTGCATGGTGTGCCAAACACAATTGTTTCTGATCGTGACACAAAATTTCTTAGCCATTTTTGGAGAACTTTGTGGGCTAAATTGGGGACTAAACTTTTATTTTCTACTACTTGTCATCCCCAAACTGATGGACAAACTGAAGTGGTGAATAGAACCTTGTCTACTATGCTTAGGGCTGTTTTGAAGAAAAATATCAAGATGTGGGAAGAATGCTTGCCTCATATTGAATTTGCTTATAATCGTTCCTTGCATTCTACTACAAAAATGTGCCCTTTTCAGATTGTGTATGGTTTGTTGCCTCGTGCTCCAATTGATTTGATGCCTTTACCATCTTCTGAAAAACTGAATTTTGATGCTAAGCAACGTGCTGAGTTGATGTTAAAACTGCATGAGACAACTAAAGAAAACATAGAGCGCGTGAATGCTAAGTATAAGTTTGCTGGTGACAAAGGTAGAAGGGAATTGAATTTTGAACCTGGAGATTTGGTTTGGTTGCATTTGCGAAAAGAACGATTTCCTGATTTGAGAAAGTCTAAATTGATGCCTAGAGCTGATGGACCATTTAAAGTGTTAGCAAAGATTAATGAGAATGCATATAAGATTGATTTGCCTGCAGATTTCGGGGTTAGTTCCACATTTAACGTTGCAGATTTGAAGCCGTATTTGGGAGAAGAAGATGAGCTTGAGTCGAGGACGACTCAAATGCAAGAAGGGGAGGATGATGAGGACATCAACACCATCGATACATCCACGTCCCCCCATGTACAGCATGATGGTCCTATTACCCGCGCTCGTGCACGTCAACTAAATTATCAGGTGAGTTCTTTCTTGAGTTCATATTCCTCGTCTTTATACCCCGGAGACGCGTGCACTCGTGTTTTACTCAGGAACGATGGAGAGGATCCAAAGGGAAGAGGATTCGCGCGGGGTGGATTCGGATTGCAGGGCAGCGCCAACTTCTGACGGCCGCCACGACTTCATGCGAACTCCGATTTGGGCGTGCAAGTACTTCATGGAAAGCTTATCAAGTCTACTTTCAAATGGATCCAGCCACATGTCCATATCTGTTCTGGAGCGGCCGCAATTATCATTTTACTCCCGACTATTTTCTGTCCATGGTGCTGCGTCATCTCTTTTGGCCCAATGGGCTGTGTATCCAAGTTGGGCCCATTAGGGGCGCGTCCTAGGGTTGGAGCACGACCCTATGGTCGTTCTTCCCCTCTTTTTATACCTCTAGTCGCCGCCAAGAACAGGCGGGTTTTGATGATAGAGATAGCTTCTTGCTACCAGCTCGCAGCGCGCGTGTTGGCTAAACCACCCGTCTGCCTGTAATCGGAACCCCACCATATTGAGTTTGATAGTGAAACTTTCATCTTTATCTAGCAATTTCAGTGCTTGTCCTACTTGTTCTTGCTTGTTCTTCGATTGCTTGCAGGACGAGTGCCCTCGTGGCCGGGTTGACGCGCACCACAAGTTCGCGGCGACCATTGGAGACGGTGTATCGGTTGCTAAGGCGCAGCGTCTTTGGACAGTTGTAGTCGAGCCGTGAACGTCGTCTTCATCTAATCGAGTTATCCCTTACCTCTCATCGAAAGATCGGGCCACAAACCCTAGCGGGTTCGCATCAAATTCTCGGCACTTTTCATTGTAAACCATCAATGTATCATTTTTGCACTCATATTCTCCCGCTAACTGACTGATCGCCAGCAAGGAATCACCCATAATCTCCACAGCATCAGCTTCAACTTCCTTAAGTAATTGCAACCCTTTGAGAACTGCTTCTTACTCAGCCTGATTGTTAGTTGCATAAGATTTAATAGTGTAAGCAAACTCAAAACTTGCCCCCCGAGGAGAAATTATAACCAAGCCGATACCACAACCATGAGTCAATACTGACCCATCGAAAAACAAAGTCCAGGGCACAATGTCAATCGAGCCGATTGAGTCATCACGATGATCAACAATAAAATCGGCTATAGTTTGCCCCTTAATTGCCTTCGGTGACTCATACCGAA